CAGAACTTCCTGAAAGCCCGCAAGCTTGTCAGACTGAGGACTGGCAAGTGTGTCAAGAAGCAGGTCTTGCTTTCTAGATGAAGGAAGGGGTTGGCGAAGCAGTGTTCTGCAAAGTGGCGGCAGCTTTTTATGAAAGCGAATGCTGCCAGGAGCAGCCAGACGGGGAGGAAGATGCAGAACTTTCTCAAAGTGCGAGAGCTTATGAAGAGGACTTACAGTAAAGGCAGTGTTGGTCATTGCTCGTTATCCCACTGTTTTTTTTTGGAGCACTTCCTCAAGCTTCGTTGATTTTGTAGAGCTGAGTGGTTGACTTTGAGAGCGAGTTTGGGCGTGAAAACTCAAATTCCCAATAGCAGAATGCAATCTCTGGGGCTGGGTTTCCTTCTTCCTGCTAAGATGGCAGGCATAAAATCTGAGACTGAGAGCAGGCATGCAATACTTGAGAAATGTTGAAAAGAAACTCTTCTACAAGGTATAAAAGGTGCATCCTCTTGGAATGCCGATTCCACTGCACCTTTTGGGCGGCAAAAAAAACACCTAGTTGTATATAGGTAGGAGCTGAGAAGTGAGGTCTATCTCACTTTAGCGAGCATGGCATGTAGCGGTTTGTCTGTTACTTGTCCCTCTACATACAAAACCTCCTGTACCTGCGTCGATGATCCGAAGGGCGGTTTTTCCAAGTTTACACTTCAATCTTTCGAGAGTCTAAAGTTCTAAAGGTTCTTGATTCTTGGTCCGGCAACCTCGAATGCCGCTCTTGGATTCGCGCTGCATAGCTGCATCTGGGTGATGCCTCGGAGCCTCATGAGTACCATGCTGTCTGTGTTGGTTTTCGCTCTTGTGTGGCGCTTCCCGCACGACGGGCCTCTTCTTTCGTGCGCCCTGCAGGACAAGCTGCTGTAGGCCGCTGTAGGCCTTGAAGGGATCTTCCTTTTGCAGAAGTGTGCCGAGGCGAAGACCAGGATTTCAGCTTGGGCCCACGGCTTCGCGTGTGCTACGAACGGTTTCCGATGACTTCGCTGAAGCGATGGGTTCTCTCCATATCAATCCAAAGGTGGTAGAGAGTCACGACGCATTAAGATCATTGCCACGCATTTGCCTTTCGCAACCGAGACTTCAGCCTCCAGTGGGGGTTAGTTGACTCATGTGACATTTGTCAGGCGGTGCTGAATTTGATCTGGCTCCTCTGATACATCCAAGGCACGTGAGCTGGCCAGGAGTGAGGGGCTGGTGAGTTCTCATAGCAGCATAGCATTATAGCATTATGCAGGTCTCGGTGTCAACATTCGAAGCCCCACATTCAGATTCGTTCGGAAAACACGTTGGGACACCGATGACGAGGCTCTCGTGAGGCTCGCGTGAGAGGCCACCGACGACGACCACCGCTGAGTGCGAAGGCCAGTTCCGGAGTTCGGGACGTCGACGCTGCGAGGTGAAGAAAAGACAACAACAAAGCATGAATGGAACGGAATGGACATGATCAAAAACATGCCGTTTTTATTGATTCATATTGACTTGATATTTTGTGTTCTGTATCCTACAGCGAGACGTTGCGGAGCCCTGTCTAAGCGAGACTGAAGTGTGGCGCAGCCGCTGTGTGCAGAAGCTTCAGCGCCAAAAGACCTTGTGGTCAGGTTTCTCGACACTGCGGCCCGTTGCAGTCTAAAGGGGACAAGGGGATGTATAGAATAGAATTACAAAACACCGGAAAGCTTGTTGTGCAGAGGCACTACAGGGTTCGGCGGATTGGACTAGACGAATTGCCCGACGGTTGAGCTGGAACGAGTCACATGAGAACAAATTGCTGTGTCTCCCATCCCACTTTTCCCCAGGCACGGGGAACCCTCTCGTGTCCGCAGAGTTTTTTGCATTTTGGCTCGGTAGATAGGGACGGCGCTGGACACGGCGGCGGCCGAGCAGGGCCAGGCGGCGCGTGCCTGGCGAGAGCAGGGCCGACTGAGTCGGCCGCCGTGATCCGCGGCGCCCGAAATGATGCGCGGCGCGCGGAATGCGACCATTGTCCCCCATGGGAAACACCTCAGCATCGAGCCTCCAAGCATCAACTTCGAGAACATCGAAGCCAACATGAAGCGAGGAACTTAGAAATGGATTTATTCATGTGACAGTTTCATGCGATGAAGAGGCTTCTTCCGGAAGTTCAGTGCGGCTTTCTTTTCTTGCAATCCTTCTTTCACAGCCACCGTATCCAGCATCGCCTTTGTGCCGTTGCTTTCTTTGTTGCCCGTATCGCATGTAACTTGTCCGCGCCTCTCAGGTATATTCAGACGCTGGTGGTCAGAAATCTCAGCACCTATGTGAAGCGCATTCGCTTCCAGGTGCCAAAGTCACAGGAGTTTCGGATCGTCACAGAGAATCTTGTCTTCACAAAGTGGGTCCTTCAACCACCCCAGCAAGACTGGCGTAAAAAACTGTTCAATCCACCCAAAACAATCAAAGCAGCAAAAGCCCTGGGGAGCTAGAACCGAAAGCTAGAGCTCATTTCCATATAGTTTCTGTTTGAGCAGAAGCAAATCATCCACCCAACTTGACGGATCTGTGGCATTGATGGCTTTGCCGAGCCCTGCTGCAACCCAGGAATGAAATTGGAGTTGCTCCCGGACTCTCAGTGTCCGTAGATGTGGAGTTCCTCACCAGATCCTTTGCTCGTGAAGTTTGTTTTATTTGCTTCGGTGGAAGGAAGGTGACCTGGTTTGGGTGATTGCAAACCATGCTTTTCAACCTTCTTGTCCGTTTCTTTTGCTCATTACAGTACACTCAGCAGTGCTACCTACTGTATATAGTAGCACGCCCAAGTCCAAGGAAAAGTCGATGACTTTTTCGACAAGCTAGTGGTTGTTGCGGAGGCCTCTCGATTGCAATAACAATTGCTGTCCAGGAACCAGCTGTGTCGTACGATTGGTGCGAAATGCAACTTGTGGTACGGTATGTATTTGGGTGCAAAGCATTTGTGGAACAGCAGTAAACTGAAACTCAACACGACGGTCCAACAATGCAATTTAGTCAAGCTGCAAATTACATTCACTGAGCCCAAGTTCAATCAAGTTGATGTCAGTAACCCACGGGGGGAGGTTGGTGACATAATATGCTGTGTCCGTCATGTGAAGTGGCCAAGGACTTCCGAGGTGAAGTGGAGCTTTGTGCTCAACGACCTCAGGAAAAGGTGATCCACTCAGTGCACGACTTCCGATGTTGGTAACACACGTACTACGTCGTATGCTTAACGCCAGAAGTTCCGTTTGATTGATGCGGGCAAAGAATTTCTGAGAGAAGTACGGGGGCAGCCCATGCTTGCCAGCCATGCTCCAGCACGATGGTCTCAGCCGTCTCCCGAGCTGAGGCAAGAAAGGGCGAAGGCTTGGGCTTGGACAGTGAGTGACTACCGCAAGGAGATCTGAGTTTGTTGGACGAGGGGACCCGCAAATCCAAAAAGACATCTATTTTTCTCATAATAACTTGTTTTTTTCTTTAGCAGGCGTGACACCCTCCTATACGCAGACAGCACGAGGCACTTCGAAAGACATCAGAGACGGATCCACATACTTCATTCATGCATTCTTATGGTTTCAAACTATTGGTGTCGAAGCAGAGCTAGTTGCCTGCCCTTTGTCCCCACCTGTGTCCGTCCGGGGGGGTCGACGCCGCCAGGCGCTGTGACCACCATGGCGCGACAGGTGAGCCCGACGGATGCCACCGAGAAGGTGGCGACCGTTTGCGGCATGCGAAACGCGGTGTTCCACCGCGAAACGGTTTGGAATGGAATGGACCAAAACCGCTGTGGGCTTCTTCAAAGTTTCTTTTTCTTCTTTTCTTCAGGGCTTGACCCGGACCAAACCAATGTGAGTTGTGCGCTGTATTGAATAGGCGATGAAGAGAGTTGCATGGGGACACAGGTCTGTGGTGGGCAACTGTCATATTGATCAGGCCGACCGCAAGAAGAACGAGCTGCCTACAGAGGTCAGGGAAGAGCACGTTAATTCTTGATTTCTGTAAGTATACTGGGAAGAATTGGTGTTCAAAGCTTTGAAGAAGCTCTTGAAAGGGATCCTTCTGGCAATTCCCACTACAAAACCAAGGCTTGTGCTCCAAAATCAGTGAAGTTTTGGGAAAGATAGGTTTTACTTTTACTAGAAAATGAAGTCAAATTTGGCTCTGGCCATGGATTCAGGATATCTCAAGATCCTTCATTTTAGAGAAAGCGCTTTGGCAGAGTCAGTGTGAAAAAAAACAACACATATGACAATTCTAGAGAAATGTTTGGTGTAATGTTCATTTGCAGATTTTGATTCTACAGTACACAAGAAGTGTGAGTGCAAAGGAATCCAGTCTTGCATTTTAGAGAGAGAGAGAGTGAGTTGGAGAGCGCAACACCATGCTGTTGGCAAGGGAAGATTTTGATAGAGTGATATTGTATGCTGCCTGATAAAGTAACATATACTGTATTACCATATGAGCATCCGACAAAACTTCCGTACATGTACTCGTGAGCCGCCTTTCTTTTTTCTGAATTGATCAACACCATGCAAAACCATGCAAAACCGATAGAAATCCAACCTATACGGATACACTTTCTTGATTGAAAGCAGCTTATTAACAATGGACACCGATAGGGGCCAACCCAGAATACTTTCGGCATTGGGGACTGAATAAGTTTTGTCCGCCGCTCATATAACATAACTTAACATTATATTATGCTACTATCTTTACAATCCAGAAAAGTCACGGGAAGTCAAAGAACTAATCAGATTTCCATAGATACCACCGGAGAGTGCACACATGTTGCACATGTATCTCATCAGCTTCGTGGTTGCAAGATTTTTTGCCCTTGTTCTGAGTGAACAAGGTGAGGTGAAAAACTTGTGTCTTCTGAGTGTTGACCCCTCCAGTTTAGAGTGAAGTGGTTAATTCTCGGACATGCCCCTCACAACAGGTTTAGGTCTATTATAAAGTCAGGGGCATGTCCCAGACCTGAATTTCCCACAGGGATTGAAAAAGCGTTGCCCCTTTGCCACGCCAAGTGGGAAGCTAAAAAGCTCCTGGCCGCTTCGCGTTGCTTCACATTGCTTCGCATTGCTTCGCATTGCCAGGAGTTGAACCCGGCCTTGCCGAAGCTAGAGACTTCTTCTGTGGTGCCGAGCATCAAGGCTGGTCAAAAGGGGTCTGAGGGGTCCTGGGTCAAACACAACCGACTGAAGCGCTGTTTTCATGGCTTTTTTCATGCCCATTGCACCCATTGCGCTGTGCAGCTCTGCAAGAAGTCGTTGTTTGCAGTTAAGATGCAAGTCGAGGCTATGCACAGAGCTGAAAAACCAGTCGTTGAAGAATGGGTCCTCCCGGTGCCCATCGGTGGTTCCTAGTAGCGTCCTTTGCTCCTAGTAATCCGGTCCACCTATTAAAAAACACGGCCCCCCCCCTAATAAGGAAACCTGGGTCGCATTTTTTCTAATAGGGGGTCCCTGAAATCGGGGGGTCCAAAATAGGTCACCTGGGAAGAGCTTCAAAACCAAAAAGTAAATCAGTAAAACTTTATATAAAATCCTTTATTAAACTCGTATCAAGAATGCAAAAAAGCTCCAGATCGAAGGGTCTTCCTTTTCCCCTACAAAAACCTTCATTAGAATAGTGATTCTTCAGTAGACTAACAGCTAAAGCTTTCGAAAGGTGATGTCGCTGTGCCATGCGGTGTTGCATGACCTCGGTGGCAAGTGCGTTGCGTGAGTCCGTGCCATTGGGGGAAGGAAAGCCTGCTGGTGTAAGCGCGGCGTGTCATGGTGGATAGACAGGGCGGACAGAGGTGGGCAGTTACGGTTGTTTTTGGAACCTAATAAAAAAGACTCCTCCAAAGTCGGCAATGTTGGTAGTTTAGTAGCGGCTTGAAAGGGCGGTAACTTAAAAACAAATATAAACCGTATTTAGGGGTTTCCGACATGACTTTTTTCTAATAGGGGCCCGTTTTTTAATAGGTACTCGGGATTAGTAAGGCCAGGAGCCCCTAGTAGCGTCCTTGCTCCTAGCAGCGATGCCCTTTGCTCCTAGTAGTGTCGTTTTTTCTGCGCAGGTGAGTCCGGACATGCTACACTTTGGGCAGTGTCCAGTGAACCACCGGCCGCGCTCTGAGCTGCAGAAAACCCAAGGTTAGTTTAAGGCTGTCCAGCCCCAAACATCAAGGAAACGCATGAATAGCGTGAAGCTAGTCTGCGTCCTAGCTAGTAGCTACCTCTTACTACTAGCTACCTCACGACCTTACCACCCTCCCTCTCCGGCTCAAAACAACTGAGTCGGGATGACACAGTTCTGTCCTGCATTCAGGCGAGACATCGTTCTGCGGATCACCAATAGCAGCCCACCAAATACTTCTGTAGAGTTTGAGATCCCGCGTGTGCCGATCTCAGGACCCTTGTCAGCTTGAAACAACAAAAACCACCGGTCAAACTTATTCGCCATGGCGACGACCTTTTCTGCAGTACGTGCGGTCGGACCGAGGTGTCTCACATGCGGGTGCACCCGATGAAGGGCAAGCTTGCTGCAGGGCAAAGCACCAACGTTGTGGTGTCCTTCATGCCAAAGGCAAATATACGCACATATTTCGCATGTAGACCAGGTTGAATCAGTTTAACATCAAAATGTCACTTTGACTCCCAACGTAACTTTGGCACTTATTTGGTTTACTTTCGCTTTCTTATTGATGGATGTGTATATTGTGTTTTAAAGTTATGTATCGTTCTTGATTAAGTACTCCTTCTATGGTATTTAACTGCTTTTTCAGGATCTAGCACACACACACAGTGTTATTTAGGAAGAGTTATTAGCAAGTAAATTAATGACGTTCTGTTTTTAATCATCTCGGCCCGCATACCTGAAGCAGGCACTCGGGAAGTACAACCAGGACATCTCCATCAAGTATGGCGTGGGCCTTCGATTGTTTTATTTTCCTCCGTTTCAATGCACATTCTCGGCAGGCGAGAAACCCGGGGTTTGTGGTGTTGTTATTTTTTTCCCTTTTTCCACCATGATGCTTTACCGCAGCCAAGGCAACAGTCAGTACTCCCACACTCTGCACTGCTATGGGGAGGTGCGCCAAATCAAAATCGTAGAGCCGGATGGTCGTTGCCATCTCCGATGCGCTCAGCCTGTTCCGCTTAGGCGCCTGTGCTGGGTGAAAAGCCAGTGCCAGTGAAAGGCCTGGAAAGAACTGGCAGAGACTTCGATCCAGAGTCGCTTGGAGGGAGTTCAACGATTCAGAAAACTCCGGTTTGGCATCAGACTGGGTTTGCACCGATGGCTGCATCTGTCACCTCAAGATCATACTATACACTCACCAAGCGTCTTCAGGGCAGTCCTCAAACACCTGTAATGCTTGAGAGTTGCGAGTGACCAAGGTACATCTATGTCAACCAGGACATGAACGCTTCTCTGAGTCATGCGTGATTTGCAACACTAAGAAAGTCACAGCACCTGCTTTGCGATCTGTTAAACATGACGAGATGCTCCTCGATTTGGCTCAAGTGACCCACCAGACACCTCCAGGCTTTCGGCACTGTCACCTCAATATCTTAAGATGGCTCGCTCCCTTGTCTTGACCGGCGCTGTGCTGCTTTGCTGCGGTGCATTCCTCACGGCCTTTGTGCCGGCCCCTCGCAGCTCCCACGTGTCTGCCCCTGCCGCAAGCACCGGCACCGCAGCAGCTCTGACTGCGGCCACTTTGGTGACACCACAGGCAGCTTTCGCCGATGAGGGCTCTGTCTGGATCCCCGCCCTGTCCGCCATCGGGGCCGGCTTCGCCATTGGTTTGGCTGCCATCGGTTCGGGAGTTGGCCAGGGCATTGCATCCGGCCGATGCATTGATGGCATCTCCCGCCAGCCAGAGGTTGCAGATGACCTGCGAGGTGTCCTGCTGTTGTCCTTGGCATTCATGGAGTCCCTGACCATTTATGGCCTCGTGATCGCCCTGGTGCTCCTTTTCGCCAACCCTCTCATCAAGTGAGTTGGACCATGATTGTAGCCGGGACATTCTTTTTTCGAAAAGCACACAATTCTTACGTACTCGCACGCTATGTATGCTCTTGAGAAAAGGGTACGACAAAGCTGCTTGGATTGCTAAGGACTTTTCATCCAACAAGGTTTCAAACGAGTCTGTACTCCCAAAGTTTGCAGACACAAGTGACACAATGTCCTTCTCAGGAAGTGCGCGTGCTTTCAAAATCTGTCTACGCTGTATTTTGACAGTACTCGAACGTGAGAGTTTTCCGGCGCCCCCAGGAGCAGCTGAACTTGCCGCCCAAAGCTCGCAGCTCACCTCAGAAAGGGCGTTTCGGTTCGTGGCGTCCACTTCAACTTGAGCCAAAGCAGGAATTTCCAAACTCTTTTAATTTTGCAATGGCCTCCAATCTAAGAGCGATGGCCTCCAACCTAAGAGTGATGGCCTCCAACCTAGAAGCAATGAAGTGACCAAATGTTGATTGGACTCAGAGAGAGAGAGAGAGAGAGAGAGAGAGAGATGTGATGTGATGCTGACTACGTGACTGAGGCAACCTTCAAAGCCTGACAAAGATCATGAAGGCCGGCCAACATTTGTTGATGCTTGAAACGGGTGAACGGATCAGCGATTGATCATGATCCTGCTCTGCCAGGAAGATTTGGAGAGAAACCAGTACTCATCTGATGCACTGGATTCGATCATGATGGATTTGCAACTTTGTTGCAGTCTTGAACTTCGATTTAGCTCTATAGAGCAGGACTCGTTCATTGAATCTTGTTTTCGGACAACTTTGGTACGTATTTCATCGTATTTCCAGGTGAATGGTTTGGCCAGCATCAAGCATGCAAAGAGATAGCTGAGGCCGGAACCTACGCCGTACTCCCTATCTCCTTCCGCTATGCAGGACACCTTTCATAGTTTGCTTCAAGGGTCTCCAAGGTGACTGACTGTACTTCAAAACAGCAGAAGCATTCCTTGAATCTCATACTCTAAAGGCCTCATTTGTCCACGTGCATCGTTTTTTTTGGCAGGAGTATGTCAGAAACAAGCAGCGCTATAACAAGCTCCTCAAGGAGGGACAGACTTGGAACGAATGTAGGAGCACTTGGCAACTCTGAGGCAGGTTTTGCTAGTTCTGTGACTTTTCACCGGTGATCCGCTCTCATCCTCCATGTCCAGCTGGGCTGGAGACATTTGGCTGTTTACTTCAACTTACTTTGCACCGATGTCAAGTCTATTGCCGACACCAAGCGCGCACCCCAACAACATGCTTAACAGCTTAACAATTACAAGGGGGAACAAACCACCCTTTCCTTGATAGGTCCGACATTAGTAATACTCACCAAAGACTATTTGATGTATATTCTTGCAGTTTTCTTCCGTCAAACGACCACATGTCGCATGACACTGCAGGACTCGAGAATAAGAAGAAAGATACGACAAAAAGAAGAGCTGCATCCGTCTGAGCCAGTAGACCCACCGCTGCAATTAGCACCTGCGACAGCGGAGGCGGCAGTTGCCGCTTCCCGCTGCAAAAGCAGGGCCGTTTCGTGAAGTCTCTTTTGGGGTTGAACGGAATCTGCATGCAGGTTGCGTGTCTTGCTGCTTGTCTTCTTGAAAGATTTAAGCCTCGCTTGCGGTTTGAGGATATATTCTACGAGGATGATGTTAACATGGGCATGCTGCCTGGATCAGGGCTCAAGAGCTGGCTTCTCAGCACTCCTGTTTGTCTACAGATGTCTACAGACGTCTACGTGACTTCGAGAGAATGACCATGATTGCACACTGGCAGACATGGGTTCGAATTGCTTGCCCTAGCTGCTTCTCGAAAGGCAGCAGGGCCCTATATACACAAATGAGTTCCAACTAGCTCAGAATGCAATTACATTCCCAGATTGCAGTGCCCATAGACATCAGAGTCTTGGTTCCTTTTTGCCTAAAACTCTGATGGCTCACACTTCAGGTCCACGATACAATGTGTGCGAGATTCCGGTCGACAAGCTTCATCTGGAACGGGCACTGGATGATGACAGTGCCGCAGAAGGAGTGACCGGTCACCGTTGCATGGCTGCAATCTAGCAGTGTTGCGTTGTACAGACACGTGGAAGAACCTTATTGAACTTGCCAGAGTATTTCCTCAGTTACTGTATATAATATTGCAAGGTGTATTTGAAGATTTTAAGAGAATCGAACGTTGTTTGGATTTTCGGTCGCTTTGCAAGCTCTTCTATGCCTCTAGAACGAAGAAGGCTCATGGATGCAAATGCAGAGTGAGGTTATATGCATGATGAGAACAAGCTTATCAAGAAGAAGTACAAGGACAGGAACTGATGGGCTGACGAACCAGCTTTTGCCGCGGCGACATATTTCCTGGGCACATCTTGAATTCTTGAGATTAGAAACAAGAAGCTATTAGGAACAAGTTCATCGCTTCTAGTAGCAAGTGCCTTACTAGTAGTAACAAGAAGCTACTAGAAACAAGTGCATCGCTAGTAGTAACAGGTGCCTTACTAGTAGTAACAAGAAGCTACTAGAAACAAGTGCATCGCTAGTAGTAACAGGTGCCTTACTAGTAGTAACAAGAAGCTACTAGAAACAAGAAGCAATTCATGAGCCCCACATAAGCGGTCCCGAGCGGCCCATGGGATCCGTCCGAGCGGCCCCGAGCTCGCCACGGTGGCCACGGTGTCACGTAGTAGATGGAACGCATTTGGATCCTTGATGCAGGATTCATAGAAGGAGCTTGGAAGTTTAGTCAGCCATGGGCCCCTTCTTGCCTTGTTCAACAACTTGGATAAGTAACAAGTAGAAATGCATAGAAATGCATGCTCATTCTTGCCCTTTCACCAGCAGCCAACAGACCTTTTTCCTACGATTCTCGGTCATTCATTAGATCCCTTAGCTTCGCCAGGCTGGACCCACCACTCAGGCTGAAGTGCGGGAATGCTCTGCAAGCTGGGGGCACTCGGCCTGGCTGGGGGGCGCTACTAGTAGCGTCCTTACTCCTAGTAGCGATGCCCTTTGTTCCTA